AGAAGATAATAAGAGGAAATGTACTGATATCGTAAAAAATTATTGTCATAATAATATTCATAATTGTGTAAGATTGCTGAACGAAATGAATTGTGCTATACTGCTATCGCAATACTCTTGTTGTTATTAATTAATTGTTGCAGTTTACATATTAGAATAATTTGGTATGCCATTCTCTTGCTCTTGAATGTTAAGTCTATTAATTGTAAAACATGATCGAGAAAAATACGAACTATCGTACATTTAATTTTTGTATTTTTTTGAAGAAAACCAAACATATACACATATGCATAAAATAGGAAATTAAATAGATAAAAAATTAAATAGAATGGAACAGAAATAGTCAGTCAGCTAACAAAGCACCAAATTTTATTGATTATACCGTTTTATCTTTTCGAAATTCTCTTTTTATTGTCCTTTTATAATAGAAAATAGAGCACTAACACCAACAATATCAACAAAAAAAATAGTAAAAACAGAAACATTGAACAATAGAAATAAAAATAAGGAATAACATCCTGCAGGACTATAAACATAACACAAATGTAATATTTCATTTCTTTTGTATCCTTTTATAATACAAATAAATTTGAACTCATTCATATGAATCACTATCATAATCACACGTGCTTCCCTTTGTATAAAGGCATACATATAACGTATGTATATACATTTTTCTATTATGTAAAACTATAAAACCCTAGATAATGAGAAACATTTTCTTATACTTAAAAGCAAATTTTTGTTTATGACTTTTCTACGGCATGTGTCCTAAATTTTTCTATACGAAATAAATTTAGCATTATTTTATTGCAATATTATTTAAATTAAAAAGTCAAATAATTTACAATTTAATTTGGTATTGTGTGTTGTGTATGTGATAGCTTAGTTTTTATTGTCAATCAAAAATTTTTGGTATTTCTTAATACTTAAATTGTTCGGTACATTTGCGTCTTTATGCAATTCATGGAGTCCAAGGAATAGTATAAATGTCATCTTAATCGTTAATTTTATGCTTATGAACTTGTTAAAGAGTTTTAATTTTTACGATATATGGAACTACTGTACCCCAATATATAAATGCTGCTTTTATTTATATAACATTTTATGATTTCATTGTTGTAATGGCTATGATTTTGTAAAACCAATCTAAATAGGAGATGAATACTATAGAGAATTCATTTTAATTAAAGAATTTATTTATATATTAATAAAGTTAAATTATAAAAATTTTATTTTCAAATAAAAATAATCAGATTCACAAAATTTATTTTATTCGCGAAAGCATAAAAATTTTTTATGTAGGATTTCGAAAATTCAAATAATTCTATCCACGACCATAAGTTGGTACCATAAAAAATTGTTAACTGTTAACAAATTCATAAAAGGAAACTGATGGATGCTTTGCTACCAAGGATCATGACTATTAGAACGAACGCACATTTTAGTACATAAAGTAGTGTAGTACATAGAGTAGCAGCTAAAACACAATCCAGTTCAGAATTTGCATTGATTTGACTACGAGAAATTTTTCTAACCATTACATAAACAAGATCTTATGAAAATTAAATAAAAAAAATATTTATTTGATTATTTGGAAAAAAATTGCATATACTTAGGTGCAAATAAAATTTTTTTCTATTGAAATTTTAGTGGGTAAAAAAATGTTGAGAAATTTAAATGGAATGTGTTTCAAAAATTTGTGGTTAGTTTGTAATGCAAAATATTTTTTCATAAATAAAATGGAGATCTGTGGATCTTGTAATTCTATTGGAAACAATATTTATCCTGGATGGGAAAGAGGTCACTGAATGTTTAATTTTTCAGTATTATTTTATTTTTCATTTTCTAAGTCTATGATTGTAACTGTAAAATAAAATTTAGTAGAGATTAAAAAAAAATATTAAAATATAAAAATGGCAGACATGCAATGATTTTCTATAAAATTCGATTTTTTACACAACTTCAGGTTCGAATGAAAGTCAAGCAGTTGAATTAATTTGATTATTTTAAAATTTTTATATTATTTTTAGGCGAATGCGGTGTCCGAGTTTAATTTGATTACACTCAATTTTTCAAATATTGCCTTTTTTAAACAAGTCAAGTGCTACTAAATCCGCATTGTCAACATCTTAATACAAAAACTTCAATATTTTTTGCCTCTGTTCCAAATGCCGGTTACAACCCTGATAAAGTAGTAAAACAAAAATAAGAAAAATATAATAGCAAAAAACTTATTAGTGACTTATGTAGTGACCACACTACAGGTCCACTATATACATAAAACTATGAAAACGTACAAAACATACTATACAAAAAATTTTTACAAATTACAAGATTAAATTCTATATAGAAAACTTTATATTTTATATTAAGCCTACAAAGGCGTATATAAAACCATAAAATTCATTTCTATTCAAATTGCAATTCTGATTGTATATATGTATATATATAAGTGCAAAAAATGGAAAAGTCCATGAACATTTCAATCTGCCATTTTGTATTTTAACTTATAATTTTAAGCTGATTAATACTTATACATTTATTATGTTCATATATTTATAAAGAATAAAGAACAAACAAAAAAAAACCCAATAGCAACAACAGCCAGCAAAAGGTATTATCATGGACGACAATATAAGCTGACATCCTTAATAACAAAAGTACTGTACATGAGTGTAATTATTCATTTTTGATTTGGAGATAAGGACTCTTTTCTTTTGATTCACTTGCTATTTTATTTTTTTTTTTTATAATTCCCATTAGATTTTCCTGTACATTTAATGCACATATATTCCACTATACATGTATGTATGTATTAAAATTCATTATATATAAGAATTCAATTTCAACTGTTCTTTGATTTTAACATTTTTCTATTGAACATATGTACATACATATTGTGTATGGCATTATGTATGAGGTTTCGAAAAGCTTTTAAGCTTTTAAAATATTTTGACATAAGTAAAAATTATACAACAAGTGCTAATGTTTTTTTTCCATTGTTACTTTTTATATTATTTTATATACCAGGTGAAAATAGATTTAATAGGATTTCTTTTGTATTCAAAAAAAAAAATATGTTATATAACTAAGTATATATAGTGGTTTGTACTGTTGTTCAAGATATGTATATGTATATCTACTTTGTGTGAACTTTGTGAATGTTACCTTTGTTAACATCATTAATATTACATCTGCCAGACTAGATGGTGGTTAGAAAAGAAGTAAAAACAATGAGAAAAAGAAAAAAAAAAAAGAAAAAGAAAAACAAAATTGTGTACTCATTGTTCTTTTTTCTCTCTCTCTTTCTCTTTCTATACACAATATTGTGTTTAGAGACCAGCAAAACACACATTTCAATACACACATATGTATAAATATTGTACAATTTATAAATGAAATATTCTTTGATATATGAACTTTATTAGGTTAATGAAAGGACATGAAAGGTAAACGCCAAAGGATGTTTGAAATTAATTAATCGATTTCATGATAGCATATACATATATTTAGAAAATTCATTATTAAAAAAAAATTGCGTCGTTTCTCTATGGTATTCTACGAAATGTTGATGTATTCTATAGCTTTACATTTTTATTATGTAATTTATTTGTTTTTGTTTCGTGAAGTAGATCTCATAAGAGAATAACACGTTTGCATTAGAAAATAAACCATTGCATATATGAGTTTATACGCGTATACAAAGGAATATTTTCTATTTCAATATTTTGATAAAAGTTCAAAGGGAATTTCAATTTTGTATACGTTTTTCAATTGATTATGTAAATTCAATATTTCAAACTATTTTTTTTTTATTCTATATGTAGTTGAATTTAATCATACTTAATTAGATTTTTACATTTGTGAATATTATTCTGGCATACATATATGTGGTATAAAGGATAATCTTCTTTGAAATGAAAATTTAGCAAAAATTTTTGTTAAAAATTAAATTAAAAATTGCTTAGCTTGTAATTCTAATGATTAAAATTAATTTTCGATTGTACTGTAAATTATTTAAGGGATTAATTTAAATGTAAAATATTTGAAATTTTATAATTGGAAATGCAGTCTTAAATGTACACAATTATGAATGGGCTTTCGAATAATTTATTAATCCTTAAAAAAGTTTTTCCTTCATAAGTTCACCATAGTTTTGGAGTTTGAGAGTAAAATTTGTCCTAAATTTTGTTTAATTAGTTGACCTTATTAACAGAACTTGTTTTAATAAATATTCTAATAAAATCAAAATTATTAAAACGGCATCATATATAGGAACCTGGTGTGTATTATTGTGGATTAATTTCGTTCATTTTTAAAGTTATGATGCCCAATATTTTAAAAAAAGTTAAAAATTTTTAAATTTCAAGTAACTGTGTAAGAGTGGTTAATTCTTTCGTTAAGGCTGTAACAGTCGATGAATGAGAAATCGCATTTTTTAAGAACACTACTCGAAAAAAGTCTGGCGCATTGTGGTTTTCATATAAAAAAAATCCTAAAATCGATGACACAATAACAAAAAATTTAATTAATGACATGGAAATTTTCCTATTGTTTTCCTATTTGAATTCACCAGTATATTTCATAATTGTCAATTTTATGACAAATAATTGGTAAATTAATCCATTTTTGTAATTTTTACTAATAAATCCCAATATTTTTGAATAAATTATGTGAAATAATAATTTGATATTTCTATTAAAGATCATATTTTGTAAACGTTTCTCATACTAAAATTAGAAATTCCAAATAAAATCCAATTAAGTTCAAAAATGAAAAAAATGGAAAAACCATACATACATACGTTTTATATACTATTAAATTTTATATTCCGTATTTGGTTTCATTACAAAAGGAAAATTTTTCTTGTTTAAAAACAAAAAAAAACCTTTTTTCAAATTATCCTTTTATAAAAAAAAATTTTTTTTTTGCTTTGTATAAAGTTTTCTAATGTTGCAATTATTTTACTTTTATTTTTATTTTTTTTATATTTTCAGATGCGGTCAAGAGACACGTGTCATTCCACGTCTGTTACAATTACGTTCACATTGGATTAAATCAGAAAAAGAGACTATACGGCTAAATGAAGCCGGTATTACCAAAGATGTAATGGATAGTGCCATTGCTCAATTTTGTTTAGAAATAATAGCAAAACATGGTGAACCAGCACCACGTTTATGTAATAAAGATCCTTTAACACTTAAAACGGGTTCATATGTAATTGAATTGTTCCCAAATGTAAGTATATATGAAAATGAAATAAAGAAAACAAAAAATACGATACTAAAAAAGAAAAATTCCTTACCATATTAAATTTTCTTCTTTTTTTCTTTAAGGCATCACATATCCTTTATATTATTCTTACTTTATTTTTATATTTTTACAAAATCCTTTCTCATCTTATTTGTTATAAAGGTGTGTTCATTTCATTTCATATTTTTCCAAATTCAATTTAAAATAATTTATTTCTTTGCTCTGCTGTTTTATCCATGCAACCCAAGAAGAAAATTTCTTTCAATTTTATGTGTTAAGAAAATAAAATATCCTTTTTCTTAATAATTGAATTTTTTCTTATATCTACGATTCTTGGTTGAAAATTCGGATTTTTACAACTTTTTCTATATAAATTGCATATAACTGTATACAACATACATACATATTGAAAATGTATAAAATTTTATATTTTTAGGCAAAATTCTTGTTTATGGTGCGTGATGGTCGTGCAACAGTTCATTCAATTATATCAAGAAAAGTGACAATAACTGGTTTTGATTTGACAAGTTATCGGCAATGTATGACAAAATGGAATAAAGCAATTGAAATAATGAATGAACAGTGTAAAGAAATTGGTTCAGATAAATGTATGATGGTAAGTTAATATTAAAATATTTATAAAAATTATTTACTGTTTGTATAGTGTTTAAGCTAATTTTTATGTTAAGATTCGAATAAAAACAGAGTAATCGGAATGAATGCATTAAAAGGGTCAATATATCAACTCGAAAATCAATTTGTTCAGTTCTGTTACCCATATTGCTACCAAAATTTCAATAAAATATTGAAAGGCATTTACAAAATTTCGAATACCGTATTAAATTTCGAATAACTCAAGCAATTTTTCGTTGTAACCACTGAAATCCTTGTCATATTGGCTAACTTGTTTATATTAGATTATGCATAGATATAAATTTTTCTCGTTTTGAAGAAAAGTAGGGTATTTTACACCTTTAGCTACATTAATTTACAGCCAAGAGTTGTTTTGTATTATTTCTAAATAATAGTTGATTACGAAGTCAATTGACCAGGCAAATAAAGAGTTGATTTTTAAAAAAAGAAAGGTAAAACATTTCAAGTATATTTGAATTTAAATTTATTACTCAACCCTATTCTACAAAGTATAATACAAAAGACTTTTTCTTCAACCATAAGATTTTCAAACAGGAATCCAACTAAAATTTATATACTGGGGATTAAAAAAGATTTAATTGAATATTAAATGAATCTCATTGAAAATTCTTCTACAAATATAATAGTAATTTTTCTTTTTTAGTTATTGTTATACAATTTTGCGGCGGTTATGATTAAATCATCAAAAATATTATTACTCGTTCCCATGTTATTTGAACATAAACACTATTTTTAAAATTCATTTCTTATATACAAAATCTTTTTTGAAATTTCAATTTAAAAATCTAATCCTAAGAGTTTTCTTCTATAAAAAATGTTTAAGGTATTTGTCTTATTCACAATATAATTCAATTAATTAACTTAAGCGAATTTATTTATTGAAAAATTTCAATTTTTGAATAATTCAAAATTTGGTGGGATTCAGGCACGAGGAAAATCACAAAAAAGATTTTAGAAATATCTTTGGAATTGAATTTTTAATACTCTTTAATACCGTGCTTTAAGTATTTTAATAAAAAAAAAATTGAACTAAAAAGGATAATAGAAAATTGAAATTTTTGTTCATTTAAATTATTGCCGAAAGGGAAAATTTGGCAGGCACAGGAAAGTTCATATAGTTTTCAACAAAAAAAAATTTTTTTTTTTGCTCATAATTTCCACCATTTTCTTTGTTTTTCTCTCTCGTTATGTTTAAATTATATACTGATTTTCCTATTGCTACTATTGTTGAGTACCCATGACAATTTTTCCTTTTCCTTTATGTGTACAATGAAAACAGTTTTAGAAAGCACAAAAGATTGGATAAAATTTTTTTTTCTTTAATTTTTTGTTATTGCTTTTTTAGCCTCTAACAATCATAAAATTCAATTTTGTGTAAAATAAGAAAAAAAATTACTGACTATAAATTAGTCTTAAGTAAAAAAAAAAATTTTTTTTTTATATATATGTATATTTTTTTTCTCTTTGTCAAATGGAAATTAATCAAGCCTTCAAAGCTTCAATTCGGGGAATTTTCTAAAATTTCATGTATTTTGTTGTTTTATTTTGTTACGAAAAGAAAAAACGATTCCTTTTCTATTATACACTTCCGCTTTTAACGCGTAAATTGCAAGAATAATGAATTCCTATATGTGCCCTAACTTCTAGCCGTGCGCTATTTCAAATACTACTCGTGTCATACTTATACTATGCTTTTCTTTTTGGCCCAAAATCTCATAATTTTTTAAATATAAAAGTTACACATATATTTACATATACATCATTATATTTTTGAATTGAAAATTGTCCTAAAAAATTTTTGGGTAAAATAAAATGAACAAAGAAAATAAAAATAAAATAAGAGAAGCAGCAGCAGCAACAGCAAAAGAAAGAAAACAATTTACAAATCCTAGTAAACGAAGAGGATTTTGAGATTTTATAATAAATTTGTTTAGTTCTACAGTAGCTTTTCATAAAAAAAAAATTAAAGTCCAAAATGCCTTTAAAGTAAAAAAATGAAATAAAAGGGAGGCGTACAGCTTTACAACTTATTTTCTGTGTTAAATATGTATTAAGTATTTTTTCAGCTGAAAAAAGGACAAAATGAGAAAATAAATAAGTGTTTACAATGTTTTTGCCATCTCCTTTCTTTTTGTTTTTTAAATCGTACAACTATGTTATGCCTTTGTGAAATAATTCAGTTATCATTCTTTCGTGACAGCTTAATATAAATAAAAAATACTTTAAAATAGGTGGTCATACCACTTACAATTTCACTATATACAGAAAAAAAGAGATTTAAATTAATTTTGTAAAAAATATACTGAAACTCTTCTCTTTAATCTCTTTGTTCAAAATTTAAAATTTGATTTCAGTGGAAAATAAGAAATAAAGCAAAATCTGAATTCCTTTTTATATCAATAATCTGACAACATTTTATATACATTTTAGGATAAACCATAGAAAATATGCTCAATTTGTTTGGTTGAGGTTAAGTTACAAAATATATTTTCGTTGACAACAACATTGTCATGGTATTTCCATAACTACACAATTTTCCTTTTTCCTTTTTTTTTTTTTGCAATTTCTTTGGCATTGTTAATTTATAAAGGATCTCTTTTAATGTTATCCTTCTTTTTTATTCCGTCGAGATAATAAAGAATATAGAATGTTAAAAAAATGTTGTTGATAAATATATGCGGTTTATATAAGGTCAACTCGGAGATTCGCTTTTAAAAGCTAAAGTATGAAATTTTAGAGGTTTGTTATACGAAGGTGGACGTCAATTTCATGCCATAATAATCTGGGTATTAATAGATACTTAAAATTGAAATTAGGGTTATTTTAATACTATAATCGAGAATTGTATGTAAAAAATAGAAATGAAGAAGAGAGGATACGACATCCGCTAAGGAAGTCTTGTACTGCTAATGAATTTAATGATAGTTTAAGTATGTAGCTAGCTTACGTGTTACATATGACATGCATGATGGAAATTGTGTACGAATCATAAAAATTATAAGAAACGAACTGGTATTGTAGTAAATCACTTCAGATTTTCAGAAAATAGTGTTGTTATGATGTTGTTATCAATAAGAACTATAATAGGTACATAAGATCTATAGTAGGTCTACAACATTTGAAGAGGCAAGTCATACATGTGGGTTTTGTTGGGCATCAGAAAAAAAAGAGCTAGTTTTTTTTGAGTCCCTTATGCTTATTACTTATTTTCACAAATATCTTCAGTGAAAGTGGCTGTGAATAAATGATCCAGAAGATTCGTTTTGAATTCTTGTTAAATGGCTTTTGTATATTGATTGTCTTTTTCGAAATTTGAGTGTTCAACGGCATTTCAAAATCGAAACAATTTACAGTAATAGCATATAACGCGATTACCTCATTTGGTTAAAATAAAAAAATTGAAGCTCAATGTTGGTGGGAGGAATCGGCTAGATCTAAATAATCCAATCTCCATTTTCTAATAATCTATTAGTATTAAAAATTGGTATTAGTTTTTCATATCATTTTTAACATTGTAAACTGTTTAATAACTTTATAATAACCTTGGAATCTATAACAGAAAAAGAGAGTTAAAAAAAAAACAATTTTTCATTATTTCTCTTAAATTTTTTTGTTTTCGTTTTTTTGTTTCTTTTATTATACAATTTTTATTAATTGCAGGTCTTTTATGAGCAGCTGGTTTTACATCCTGAAGAATGGATGCGAAAAATTTTGAAATTTTTGGAACTTCCATGGAATGAGTCCGTACTTCATCATGAGGAATTCATTAACAAACCAAATGGAGTCCCACTTTCAAAGTGAGTACAATAATAATCAAAAGGCAAAACAAAAAAAAAATGAAAAAGGAAAAAAAAAAATTTAAAGGACACTTTAATAGAATGGAAGAGAAAAAAGGAATTATTATTACTTTTCTATTAACTTTTTTTCATGTCCCAAAAAAAAAAAATTTTTTTTTTTCGTTTTTCATTTTGTCAAAGATAAAATATGAATGAAAAGATAATAAAACTTGCGAATCCTTCATATAATTTACTTTTATACTGTTATACTATTTATGTTATGTGTACAATGTATACACATTGAAATATAAAGAATTTAGAGCAAGGTAATTTTATTAAAAAAAAAGAAAATTATCAAATGGTCATCAAAGGAATGAACATTGAAAAAAATTTGAAGATTCTGAGAAGCAACCAAGTTTGTATTTTTTTGTTTTTAACACATTTTTCTTTTCTTTTTTAAATTTTAAAAAAGGGACAAAGAGAAAATAATGGAAATTGGAATGTTTTGTGTTATAACTATGCAACAGTAATAATTCTTAATTAATCCTTATCTTCAACAATATTGCAATTTGTCGAGATTTTATCAACAAAGTATACAGTTTTTGTGTAAATTTTTATCTAGATTATCCAAGTTTTTTTAAATTCTTATCCAGATTATCCAAACAAAATTTTTAATAGCATTTTTGGAACTACTAACGATTTCATTGCGTAGCGAGTTTTTACGACATTAAGAGTTGTAATAACGCAACACAAAATTTTTTTTTAATATTTGCATTCCTGTATTGTACAATAATCTCTTATTCTCATTTTGTGTATCATTACTTATTACTCATCAAATGAGAGAAAAAATGTACTTAATAAAAAATCTACTTTAATATCAGATTTTAAATTAGAATTTTTCATTGATCTCAATCAATTTTCTCATACTATTTTCAGTAGAATAATATTAAAGCTGGCCATCATATTGTGATCAGTAAAATTTAAGAGAAACTACATTCTCAGTAAATAAATTTTCTAGATTCTCTGTTTTGTTTAACATAATTTCACTCAAATTTTGTGTTAAAGAGAAATACACAATGCATATTATGTAATTTTTTTGGAAAATATTCCCTCACATTATTTGTTCACTTGTAGTGTAGTATTACATTAATTTATGACATACTCGTTATCCATTCATTACTCTTTTACATGGTGAAAAAGAAGTGGTTAACATGGTGAGAAAACAACAATAATGTTAAATATTCTACCATTTTATATCGTATAACAGTTATAATAGGAAATTTAAATTCCCATTTTCTCATACTTTGCAATTTTCCTCTGCAAAATTAATTATTTTAAGGAAAACAATTGCGTTTATATAAAATTTATTTGTTTCCTTTAATTTTTTCTTTTTCAAATTTAAATAGAGTTGAAAGATCATCAGATCAAATAATTAAACCAGTTAATTTGGAAGCTTTAACAAAATGGGTTGGTGAAATACCAGAAGATGTTGTACGTGATATGGCAAATTTAGCACCAATGTTATCAAAATTAGGTTATGATCCATATGCGAATCCACCAAATTATGGTAAGCCAGATGCATGGGTACAGGATAATACGTATAAGGTATGTGGGTTGGAAAGTAGTGTAAAGTAAAAGAAAAAAAAAAAAAACAATCATTTTGGTGTTACAAAAACACAAAAACAATAGAAAAACAGAAGTAGGAATTTTTTACAAATTCATTTTATAAATTTGATAGTTTTTGTTATACGTTCGTTCTTGTTGGTCATTGCTGTTCTTGTTATTTGTTCTTGTTATTATAAAACACCAATTTCCACCGACTACCGATATACAATATGTGCATAATATTATATATATATATATATATAGACTTGTTCTTATTTTTTTGCATTAAAATTAAACGCATGTCTTATAGAAATTAATTATGTATTGTGAGTTTAATCTTTTGTTTGCTCAATTTTTTGTTATTTTGCAATGTTTGTTAAAAATATTGTGAAAATTGTATGCAATTTTGTTTATTTTGAAATTACTTGTGTACGTTTGAATATTTTTTTTTTGCTGTGTAATGTTTTTCTGTTTTGCTAGTCACTTAATCCTGTACAATTAAAATTAATCAATTTTAAATTATTTGTTTCGATATTCCTATTCATACAAAGGCAGAATATCAGTAAAACTGATTAAAGTCGATGAATAGTTCTGATAAAAAGGACAGTTAATTAATACTTTCAGTCCCTTACGAAATGCTCAAACATGAGTGTTTAATTTTATACAGCAATTCGGGAGTCTATATGAATCACAATCAACCTTTGATCTACACACATCCATGATTTTATTTATTGAATATTTTGCAACTTTTAGATTTCAACGCTAATTAAAAAAATATTTTCCAAAGATTTTCCAAATAGAAAAAAATTTAATTTTTTGTTTTAACTTTTTTAATTACTGACATTTTCGAGTGCAAACAAAAAAAATTTTTTTGTATTTTTATTTACCAATTTTCATTACTTTATTTACGTAAATTAAAGATAGTCAACAATTCAAAAACAAAAAAAAAGTGATGAATATAGACAGAGTCGGATTTAATATGTCAGAGGTTAAAAGAGTTATTGAAAAATACGAAAAATTTTTATATTACCAAGTACTCACCGGAATATGTTCGCTTCAAATTAAATATGTAGTAACATTGAGTACTTACCATATAACAAATTCTCATCGAATTGCCAATTTTTCTTCGGTTTATAAATGTTCGCCATTACGATGAAAAGGTAGATATTGTTGGCTTAGTGAACAGGCGAAATTTGTTTTGTTTAAATGAACACAAATTTTAAATCTTTTTAAATTTCCATAGATTCCATGAGTAAAAATAAAAAAAAGTGTTTGTTTTATAAGAGGATTTTGCCTAAGTCACACGTCGTCTTGAATCTTATTACTATTAATTATATTTTTGTTACTTTGTAATTTTGAAATTTAGAGCGAATTTTTTTATTTTGAGACACCTTGCTCAAATATGGTAGAGAACATTTCGTCGGCAATTTCTTCATGCCTCTGTAGCTCAGTTGGTAGAGCGTCCGCCTAGAAAGCGGTAGGTCACTGGTTCGAGTCCAGTTCGAGGAGAAAAATTTTTTTAATGAATAATTTTTCTGCCTTTAACTCGTTCCTTTGATTACGTCATCCATCTGTTCCGCAGTTGCATGAAGAAATTTCCATTAAGATAAATTAGTAGTGTAATAGGCACATTCTTATTGATTCCGCAACTATAATGTTGTATTAGTAAAATTCATAATATGGTAATTCACTTTTTTCCATTTATACTGGCACCGTAGGATGTTATATGTAAAAACTGTACACATACTAATAATTGCAATTAATGAAAAACCAATCGTGTTCAATAAAACCAGACATCTACTACGTTCGTTCCCATTTTGAAGTAAATTTCCAATTTTAAATTTGAATATACAAAAATTTTCTGAAATGAAATCATACAACATTATTTTTAGTCCTTCTAAAGTTTCAAATATGAATAATTAAGTTGTTCAAAATACCCTTGGTCCAGTAGTACCAAGTAGACTAAATTTAAATAGTTCCAATAAATTTAAAATCAGAATAAAATTTCTATAAAAATTCAAAATGTATGGGAAATTTTAAAAATTACTAAAATAAATATTTGAATTTTGTTAAATTTATTAAATCAATTTCATATTGGTTGATTAAATATTAAAATTTGGTTACGAAAGTCAAATAATAAGTACATTAGCCCATGCTAGATTTATTTGTGTATGTAAATTAAGAAAAAAAAAAATTAATTTTAAATTCAAAACTTTTTTTTTTATATTTTAGTAATCAAGTTTTTATATATAGCAAATTTATATTTGAAAAAGGATATTTTAAATATTTTAATTGGAAATATTTGAAATTATTCACAAAATTTAGTCAAATTTTCAATCCATTTTTTTGCGTAAATCGTGTACAAAAGAAATTTATTTAAATTATACAATAGTCAGGAATTTGATTTGTTTTATTAGGGCATAACACATATTATCTAATTCTTTTTTAATGAGACAGCTTTGGTGATGAACTATTACCAATTGCGAGGAATAAAAGTTGCTTCTGTTAAATATTTCTGCTTTGAAATCTTTTATAAATTCCCTAATAGGTCAGGAAACAAAAATCGCTATGTAATTTTGAATTAGAAAAATTAATAGCTATATTGAATGTAAAACCAAAAATATTTGCAGTGTAAGTTACAAAAATTAATTATATTTTTTTTTTTTTTACAATATACTATATTTGAAAAATATTGGCATAATCTCAACATTGTACAGCATTCATATACTAGAAATTTTTGTACCACATACATATATATATTTTATTATTTATAGTATAGCATTCATTAAGGAGACAACTAACAGAACCATTATTACATTTAGAATAAAAATAAATAGTGAATACCCTTGCAAGCATATTTTAGTATTAAAGCCACCATGCCTTGAGAGTTGAACTCAGTTAAAATCCATCAGTATAAATAAAATTTTTTATAGTAATTAAACATTATTTAAATTCATTAGAATATTTTATAAAATTGTTTAAATGTTATATTGTTATTTTCATATTTAAGTTTTCTATATTACACTTTTATTGAAAAATTATTATATTTACTTCCTATATATTATAATACTTCCTTTATTCTTTAATAAATTCAAACAATAAAATTAAATTTCAAAAGAATTATTCAACTAAGTTTTTTACTTTGAAGAAATTGTACAGCAATCAATAATCATTAAACATATTAAATTATTTTGAATTTGTATAATTAAAAATTTGCAAGAATCTTTGGTAATTAGAGTCGAAAATCAGAAATTTATCCACAATAGGTGCTCAGTTATCAATTATTCCTTCAAACTTTCAATTAATCCAACTGCATAATTTGAACAATTCAATAATAATCTCAATTTTTACTCACATTTTCTCTTATTTGAATTCGTTCAAGAATAACAATAAAAGTTGGTATGTTCTTTAGTATATTTCTTTTAGATTTTATAATAAAACTGAGTTTAAATTGTGAAATTTCAAAATTTTTTCTCAAAATATTTAAAAAATTCTTAAATTTTAATTACTTAATGGTATTCATTATTATTTAAAATTCAACACTAACACTAAATTAAATTAAGCACCACTATATCTAAAAAAATAAATTTTTAAAAATATTTTTACATTTTACATAAAGCTTACCCTATATATACAAAAATACAAAAGTAATACACAAATTATTAAAGTATTTTGGTTTGTAAATATTATTTGCTTTCTGCTGTAAATTAGCTTTTGCTATACACTTAAAAAATTACTTTTTTATTAAAGGTTTTTCTTATTGCATGTTTTAATTTCTAATTTTAATAAAAATATTCTTTGCATTCTTTCCAAAATTTATTCATAAAAATAAGTAATTTTTTTTATTGTTATTATAATTTTTTTAAATATTTTTTAAATATTTTCATAAAATTTTCATGATATTTAAATAAATTTTTATTTTTTGTGTCTTTTTATTTTCAATAACAAAAATAAACATGAAAATTTAGGTCAAGGCCAACAAAATGCTATGGGATCATAAAGCAAAACATATATTAGGTTTACCATCTGAAGAGGTTTATATTAAATCATATGAACTGACTAATAACAATATACCAGATTTGTTATCAGATAATAATAAGAAAAATAATAATGAAAATAATAATGATAATAATGAAAATAATAATGATAATAGTAATAATAATAATATTATAAATAATAGTAGTCAAAATAATAATAATAATAATAAATTATATAATATTAAAAATAATCCAGAATTAGAACAGGAATTATTGCAAGAATCAACAATACAAAGGCAATAACAGTTACAACAATTACAATCACAACAATATAATAGTATAAAACAACAACAGAAACCGAAATCAAAAAAACAACATCATAATTATCATAAAGAAAATATGGAAAATAATAATAATGATAATAAAAATAATGAAATTAATAGTAGTAAACAGAATCAAAGAATAAATAAGGAAAATTTTCCAAGTGGAAAAACATGATACCGGATACCGAAACGTGTTATACAAATTAAGACGCATAAAACCTAAAAAAAAAATTAAAATAAATTTAAAATGCCTAAATACAGAGAAAAAACTAAAAATACTTAAAATTAAAAATAAACAAATAAATTTAATTAAGAATTTTTGGTTTTAGAAAATATTTTTTTTTTTCTTTTGTCAAAATTTTAGTAAAAAATTAAATTTAATTTTTTAATCTCGTAAATTTTTTATATTTTATTACTTTAAAAAAAAAATTTAATTAAATTTAATTTTAAATTCATTTATTCGTTTAATTTTTTTTTTTTAATTTTTAATTTTATCCTATAATTGTATAATAACTAGTTAAATATTTTAATGTAAATTTAAAAATTAAAAATTTGTAGAATGAAAGTTAATTGTTATGTGACCGCAATATTTTTTTTTTTTTTTTTTATTATTTTTACACCAATTAACTATTTTTATAATATATTTTTCTTTTAATCTAATGAACTTCCATTTTAGTGCAATTATCATAATACATATACACACATTTTATATATATACACAGAAATAAATAAATTTTTTTTATACATTTATAAATTTTTAAATTAAAAATAAATACAAAAGAAAAAAAAAATTATTTTCTCTTTTATTTTTATTTTATTTCATTCAATAAAAATTTTTGTTTTTTTTAAACACCCCGCTCATTTTATTTACATAAGACAATTAACTTATTTACTAAATATATATATATACAAATACATACATTAAATAAATTAAAAAAAAAACTGTTATACAAAATATGCCAGTTAATTTGTTTTATATATAAAATATTTTTTTTTTTTTAAATGTTATTTTTATGTTTATATTTTATGTATACCTAAGTGTATATATACATATACATATACGTAGATTTTAAAAATAAATTTATAACAATTATACTATACATTCTACAAAATAAATAAAAAAAAAAGCTTTTACAGTTAAAATTGTATTTAATAGGATTATAATATTGTATATTTAAAAAAAAAAAAAAATAAAAAGAAATAAAAAATACAAGACTTATTAAACAAAGTAAAACAGAAAAATTTAAATAAATAAAATATTATGTAATATAACAACTACTTTATGTTAGTGTGTGTGTGTATATACACATATGGAAAACATATGCATGTAAAAGAGAATAAAATAAATAATTTTATTTATAATATTTTGCAAAAATGCAAAAAGGATGCTTTAATGGGAATTTTTTGAATTTTTTTTTTTCTTCTGTGTGTAAATTCTAAGGACTCTTAAAAAACATCACATAAAATATTTTTAAATTTTTTTTTAAGTTTTATTGAATTTACTTTAATTTTTAAGATTATTAAATTTATTTTTTAAGTTTACTGAATGTAAAGCAGAAAGAAAATGGTTGAATATGAAAAAGGATATTTAAAAATTATAAAAATTTTAATCAGAATTTTTTTGAAAAATGATTAATTGTTTTGTTAAATATTACTATATTGCAGCTTCTTTGTAAATTCTGTTCGAATAATTAACTAGTATACTAATTAAACCTACCGAACTAAATAATTAAATGATGAAAATAAATGAAGAAATCTGAGACTAGGAGCTTGTTAGTTAATTGTGTTAATTGTTAGCTATTATTATGTTATTTAAAAAAAAAATGGGAAATATTGTATATGAACAATAATGAACCAAAGAAGAAACTAATAATTCTTAATTAGTTTTTTTTTTACATTTCAAATAATAATAAATTATTAATATAAAATGAGTTACATTGTACCATATTAAATTAATTTAAACAGGATAACAAACATTGAAATTATATTCGATTGCTGTAATAATGTTCATACAAGTATCCAGTTGTTACTTTCATACATAAATTCTACTATTCTCACATATGTATTTGCATACTCGTATACTAATATTTAAAATAATAAAACGTCATTGGAATTAAATTTTTGCAGAATTTTCCATTCAAAATAAAATTCCAAGACAAAATCATACTAGACACACCAGTAGCATAATATGTTAGTGAAATAACAAATTGCTCTTGAAATTTTTATTCATTAATAATATCCTTTGAATTATCACAAAATTTACAAGAAATTGTCTTACAAAGTAGAAATAATTAGTAGTAGTCGATAATTGAATATCACACAAAATTGCATACTTTTATTGTACATAATTATTTAAAATTACTTCTAGACTTGAATATAGTTGTTTTAAATTGAATAAAATTTTGAAAATGTTTAAACAAAAGGTATAATTTTACCTTTTTTTTTTGAAAAAGCATAAATTTTAATGAAGTGTTTACGTAATTTATCTAACAAATTATAATATTTAGCAATATTAAAATATTTTTTTATTCTGAAAATTTAATAATTTTTCTTTAAAAAAAAAAACCAAAATTTTATGATTATTTTCATACATTTTGACTACAATATCAATATTTTTTTGTATTAGACAGATATTTTAATTAAAATAATGTCAAAATAATATTAAATACTCAATTCTATTATAATAGACTCGTTACATAATTTTCGAATTTTCAATGTAATATTGTATTCAGTTACACAAAGCATATTTTTGTGTTTTATTAAAATATAAAATTTGTCATAATTTCGAATTGTAATCTTATTTTTCGAAATTTATATTGTTAAAAATAAATTAATTTGAAAATAAAATGAAAAATTTTCTGGTGTAATTGAAAAATTTATGCATTATCATTCATCTTCTTCTTCATGTTTTATAAAATAATACAAATTTTAACAATTCATTATAAAATTTAAAATAAAAAAATTTCAATTTAAAATCTAAAATACTTAATAATATAACAATAATATTATTTATATGTATGTAAGTGCGTATGTGAGTGTATTTATATCATTAAATATTATGTAATTTTATTATTTTCAAAATAAGCTGACTAAAATTTTTTATTTTTCCTTGTTTTTCAAAAATTAATAATTCCCAAAATTCTCTATAAATGCATTTAAAAGCATCCTTATTATTTATGTAAAACATATGTATATACATACATACATTCATATTACATATATGCATTTTATATTATATAATATGGAAAAATTTAGGTAAATTGAATTGTAATGTAATTTTTATGTGTAAATAAAAAATATAAATGCATAAAATATTACAATATATAAAATTGTAATACTATGATGAAATATATAGATAATAATAATTATAATTTATAGGAAAAATTATAAAACAAAAAAAAAAAACACTTAAAATAAAAAAAAAATTGTATGAAATGAGAATGAAGAATGTGAAATATGTGTATGTGTGTCGCATATATTAACAAAAAAACAAAATGTACAGTTAAATTAAATGTAATAAATAATAAATTTCAATTATATACATATATATATATATATATACATAATTTATTATGTAATAATAATAGATACATATATGAAATTCAAATTTTTAATTTATAAAATTTTCTAATTTTCCTTTGACTCTACATGTATACATACAGAAAAACAAACTTGAAATCATAATTTAATGAAAAAGTTTTTTAAAAATATTAAATTTTTCTCTTCGATACTCTGATGCTAGTTTCAATTTAAAATTATAGGGTATGTTTATAATATGTATTTAAAAATATATGTGAAAATATTATTAAAAATATTTTATTTTCCAGAAATACCAACCCATACACCTTAATTAATTTCATTTGAACAAAATGTAAGAAAGAACCATAAAAAATCACAATATTTTTATCATAAAATTTTCAAAATAATGTAAATTACAACAATAATTCGTCGCGTGAATGCAATTTTTATCCATATGCCAATTTTGTGATTTTTGCCTCAATAACACTTTCACAGGTTTTCGAGAATGATTTTACGGAATATGCAATTGGCTTTTCTCTATTTAATGCAGTTTATTCAGCAATATCAAATTATGATGTGGTATATTGTTGTATTGTATGAAAAATCCAATTTAAATGACTAGAACAAGAGAGATTTTTATTATTTTTAAAAAAACTTTTTCATATAGATGCATAAAAATTATTTAATGTGCACGAACAGTAACTCATATTTTCTTCAATTGCTTTAAACTTTACAGAAAATTTCTATTTTTCTGTTATTGTATTTAAAAAGAAAAATGGCTACTTATTTAGATAGTTATTTAATAATTTTAAAAATTAGTAAAATTAAATTCGAAAATAATAAATTTCAAATTAAATTTCAATTTATTTTGTAAATTTAGTAAAAATTTCAAGCTCAATATCCAATAAATTTTGAACAATTTATTTGAACACATTGTATTAAATTTTAGGAATATAATATATTCATACATTATTTTGTCATAATGTTATATTTGGAATTAATTTACATATTTTATATTATTTTTTATATAATAATTTGAAATGAAAATTGAAGCCGAATGTATTCAATTGTATAGCGGAATTTCAATCAATATGATTTAATATTAATTTTACTCTACTGAAAATAAATGTACAGATACTATATTTACACATAAATGTAAATTTTTTTCAAAATTTAAAAAAAATTTTAATTTCTCTTTATTGAAATCCAAATATTCTTCAAAGATAATAAGATTGCTTCCAAACAATTCAATGAGTTTACCATGATTTAAAATGTAAATTTCTTAAAAAGAAAATAGTGAATTTTGTTATAATAATTATTATAATAGAAATCTTACTATTATAATAATGGAAATGAACCCGTGCCGACAACTAGTAAAATACTCGTATCTTTGCATGTGCAATTCAAAATTAAAATTTAACTTTTTCATACATAAAAATTGATTATTAAGGATATTTAACTTTTAAACAACAAAATTTAATTCAGGAAATTTTACAAAGAACATTAAGATACCGCATGGTTAAACAGAACATGAAATATTTAAATAGGGTCCAGTATAAGTATTCCATGAATAGTACCTTCCATCAAACTGAACTCGAAAATTCATATATTTTATATGTTATTCTAAAATAAGAGTAAACATGATTTTCCAACAGTAATCCAGAGTTCAATTAAATATGGAAGAAATTTTTTCAAATCCTTAATTTAAAATTTAATCAAAAACTACCAATTAAACTTTTAAACTACTTCA